TTATTTACTTGTCTTTGTATCTTTAAATTTAACTGGAAGTCAATTCACAACCTAGACAATGGTTTTAGTGAGAGACTTATACACTACTGATGTCAGTATACCTACAGTAAGATGAATCGCTGTTTTAATTATTGGATCCTAGTCTGAGAACAGTTTGTCAGTATGCCACTTGTCCTTGTGCTATGTAAATAACATGTTTTTATCGATCTCTTTATGATTAAGAAGATAAACATGTACAGCCACAAGAAAGACAAAGTTTATTCAAACCGTGAAAAGGCTTCAGGTCTCATTTCTTTTCTTGCAATGAAAATTATCAGAAAATCTTTCCACCGTGAAAAATCCTATGCCTGGGGAGTCCAAACACATTGTTAAATAGTTTTAACATTCTTCATTGCACAGAAAAAACTTCCTACATTTTGTTTGTTTGTTTGTTTGTTTGTTTGTTTTAGAGAGAGATTTTTGTTATAGGGTGTGTGCACTTGTCAGAGAGACAGACAGAACACAAAAAATCAACCCCTGGAAGGATGGCCAAACCACAATCCGTTCCACTCCATTCTCTTCTTGAGATTTTGGACATACATGCATACATGCCTAGCATGAGTTTTAAGCCACCAGGTCTGAGATTCGAACTGTGGTCAACCATGTGGGAGTCCAGCAATGTAACCATTACACCATCTGCTGGTCCCACCTCCCTACAATTTGTAACACCCGTACCCTCCAAAGTTCAGGAGGGTGAATATGGTGCAGGTTCTCTTTTGAAGTGCTACATCGAGTTAAGAAGGTCAAGAGCTTTGGTCAATAAGATGTCAACTGAGTGGAATATCTTTCTTTCAACTCTGTGCCCAAAGAGCCATGCAGCCATGTTTAAAATTCCATTCTAAGGCCACTAACCTCACCCAGTTTCAAAACCACATCTTGCCTATAACAAATCTTTAAAAGAGTACTTCAAGGTAAGGAATATAAGTTGTGTCAAGGTATAGAACATAGACGCATTAATCAAAATGATACATGAGAGAAAGGGAACTGAGAAACCTAGAAGCCCTGTTGATCTTCTTGCATTAACTGGAAACCAAACGTAGTTTAGGAAAGCCGGAGTTCTCCTTCAAACAAAATGTAATCCTGGCTCCGGGCTGCTGAGGTTATAAAAGAATCCATGATATCTTTTTCAGGGATTAAGATTTTAACTCTATGGCCACAGCTGAGCCTGATAACTAGAATCTGTCTCTTCAGACAGTTAGTGTAATGCCTATGTCGCTGGACTCCCATGGAGTCAACAGCAGTTCAAGGCCCGGACCTGGTGGCTTAAACTCACGCCGGGCGCATGTGCGTGCGTGCCCAAGATCCCAAGAGGAGAATGGAGGAGAAGGGATTGCAGAGTGGCCATCCTCCCCCGGGGGGTGATTTCTCGCTTTCTGTCTCTTGTCTCTCTGTCTTTCTCTGTCTCTCTGGCGAGTGCACGCACCCTGTAATAAAAACCTCTCAAAGAAAAAAAAAAAAGATCTAAGGTATTCTAAAAGGTGCTAGGTGAATCTAAATGATAAATATCACTTTTGCAATATCCTAAAGCAGAGAGATTTTAATACCGTGGTTGAAAGTCAGTATAAAATAAAAAATGTTGGATGAATGCATGGCCCTTTTTTACAGAGAACATGCACGAGAACTGACAGCCATCCATCCAATCAAGTACATAGCACGACTTGTTATCTCCATGGACTTCTACTCACCTTCTTTTAAAAAAAATTTTAATGAGCCTGATCAATCAAATGCTCATGGTTAGGACCAAACCAAAAAAGATTACAGAAGCTCTGTTTACCAAATGGAACCAAATACTACTAAAAGTACATTTTCTGTGAGGCTACGGGAATTACAGTAGCAAGCATCCAAGAATCTGGAGTTAGCAAAATAAAAAAAATGATCTTACAAATTGTCCCCAGTGAAAAGTCTATAAGTAAATATAGCTAGTTTCTAGTACATGAATGTAATTTAATTTGGTTAACTTTAGTAATTTACAAACAAAACATCTTTGTGTGTTTTCCAGGTCCCATTCTTCTCTTTTTCTTCTCCTCCCCCTCCTCCTCTTCCTCCTCCTTCTCCTTCCTCTTCCTTCTTCTTTTCTTCTTCTTCTTAAATTATTTTTTTTTAGTTTATTTATTTATTTGCTATAGGGCCTGTATGCTCATCAGAGGGAGACCAAAAGGGAGAGAGGAAAAGTGAGAAAGCAAGCCACCAGGTCTGTGCTTCAAACTGCCATTGACTAACTATTACAATAACTGACTTCAACCTCACTAAAATTAAGTTATGCTTTCATGCTCATTGCCATTAACATAAAGCTAATCATTTTATCTTGGCTCTTATCAAAAAATTATTTCATTTTCAGGATAAGCTAATAATATCTAGAACAACACCATTATGCTCTGTCAACCATCAAAATACTCTGAAGTGAGGAAAGAATTTATTTGATTTAACTGACCTTGCACAGTTTACTTGTCAAATAACTTCCATAATTTCGATTTAGAAATCTAATTTGGTAATCCTGAGAAGCTCCTTCTACTCCTATCCCTCCCTTGTGCTTTCTAAAAGGTTGAAGAAGCTAGAAATAAAACACTGGTATTTAGTTGTAATTTGTAAATTAGTTGATTTTTGGGAGGGTAGGGGGGCAGGGTTTCACTATGTCCCAATCCTCTTACCTCAGCCTCCTAAGGAGCTGGGACTAAATACCATGATGCCTGCTTTTAAAGTGGGCCAGGAATTGAACTTGGGCCTCCTTTGTGGCCTCAGCCTGCCAAGTAGCAGCACCAACCAATGCATACTACTGCAGCTGGCCTATAAAGTATTATAGTTCTTATATGCTCCCTGGCATTCATTTTAAAAATCACTCCAGTTTTCTTAAAACCTAGAAAATGCTGTTTTAGTTACAATTTTCATATGTTGATATTTTCTGGCATTTCATTTAAAAACAAACAAATAAAAAAACAAAAAAACCTGGAAAACCTTATAGACAAGAAATACTTCAGGTAACAAAAATCATGTCTCTTCACTTCATTAACAGTTCCAAATCTCAGAAATGTGACAAATCTTTCCCAAAAGAAAGGTCTTATTAAGCCCCAGTGTATATCTGCACCATATCTTTAACCACTGTTTAAATTCCAAACAAGGGGCCAGTAGGTGGCAAGGTGGTTGAGGTACTGGACTCCCACATGGCCAACCGTGGTTCCTGCCCTGGAGCTGGTAACTTGCTTTCTCACTTTCCTCTTTCTCTTTCATGAGCATGTGTGCCCTGTAGCAAAATTTTAAAAAAATAATAATAATAAATAAAATTAAATGGATAATTCTTTTAAAGAAATAAATTCCAATAACAAATCAGGTAAGATCTTCAAAGCTGGTTTATAAAATGAAGAAACCCTGCTCAGGAGAATTCGAGAAGTTCATAACTATAAGAATAATGCCACAATAGAAAGTCAACCATGAAACAACCATGGATCCTGACTGAAAATTTTACCCTATGCCAGCTGAACTAATATGGAGTTGCTGTAGATGGTAGGGAAGTTCGGATAAGAGCCTTTGCATAGGCCAACATTCCTTGCTATCAATTAAAAAGGATTCTGTGCATCTATGTTTATTGCAGCATTATTCACAATTGCTAAGACATGGAACCAACCCAAATGGCCATGAACAGATGAATGGATTGGAAAAGTGTGTCACATATACTCTATGGAAACTACTCAGCCATTTAAAAAAAAAAAAAAAAGCAAAACAAAACAAAAAAAGACCCTGGTATTCTATTGAAAGTAGATGAATATGGAAGATTTGCTGCTGAGTGAAACAAGCCAGGCTATGAAAGAGAGACACTGTATGTCGCCACTTAACATACACCAACTATCTGCCCTTTATGGTAGAAACTGAGCAACTGGGGGACACAGAAGCATTGAAAATGGTTATAGATCCTGGAGACAATGTGGGAGGAGGGTGGGAGAAGAGGGAGAGTTTAAGGAAGAAAATTAAGGAGGAAAATAGAGAGGTAGGACATTTATGGGACAGAGAAGTGGGTTATTATCAGTTGATGATCATGTGTTTAGAATCCTCAACTGGACTGGTGTGAAGTGTATTTATGCTGGGTAAATTCAGCTTATAAGCAAAGTGATGGATAGTGATTAAATGTATAAAATAAAAAGTAATTAATAAATAAATTAAGGAGGAAAATAGAAAGGCAAGACATGGACACAGAAATGGATTATTATCAGTTGATAACAATGTATTTTGTAACCTCAACTGGACTGGTGTGAAGTGTATTCATGTGAGGTAAATTCAACTTATAAGCTGAACAATGTATTGTGATTAAATGTATAAAATAAAATAAATATAAATATAAAAGGATTCTGTGGGTCTAGCCTTATGATACAGTTGGTAGCATATTAAACTGCAATGCTGGAAGCCACATGGCCAACTGCAGGTTCAAATCTAAGGGCTGGCTTGAAAACACATCAGTTGTGTAAACCCATGTGCCCAAGATCCTGATGAGCTAGAAGGCCAGAAAAAGAAGATCAAACCATGATGAGATCTTGTCAAGAGTATTTCTCTTCCTCTCCCATACACGCACACGCACTCTCTATCATGAATGAAATGAATGAACGCAAAGGGGGGGGGGGGATTCTGGGAGCAGCTGTTGAAAACCTAGAGGTCTGCTCAGCAGAAGAGCAGAGCCAAGCAGAAACAACTCCAAAGCCACCTTCTTTTTTGAAAGACAATTATCAGGTGGATTTTCAAATAAACTTACCTCAAATTATTCATTATCTCCCCCTGAAACTCAAATGTTTAGAAATATAAATAGCACATACCTTCCTTTCAGCATTTTATAAAGTTCAAGAATTTTACATAATAACCACATGCATGCCAAAGATTTATGGAGTAAAATTTGAAAAAGATCAGATATTACTGATAGATATGAAAATTATTTGGGAATAACCATCAAAGCATTTTATTATTGAATTATTAGCGTTTGCTTCTGTGAAAAGAAATGTAAGAATACTACTACCTATCTAACAAGACCCACTTGACACTCTGACAAACATTTGGGAAAAGAAAGTGTGTCTCCCCTTATGTTTATAATTTTCTACAAAGTCCATTTTCTTTTAACATCCTTGATCATCCACATTCATACAATAAGGGCTTCTTCATTAATAATTCACCTTACACATGAAATGTAAACCATATCTGAAAATAAATTCATTGCCAAATTGATGTTAACCGCCAAACCTTTCTAGTAAACTATTTAATAATGGACAACATAAAAGGAGTGTGATTTGCTGGTTTCCTTTGTTTGTTTAACTTCTATAGCAGTTTCAGAAGCAAGTGGCATAACTCTGCTTTATTTCCGATTTTTAGAAGTCTGTTTAAAGTCCTTCAGGCCCGTATTACCAGTGACCTGCCGACCAATTCCGGGCGGGCGTCATGGTGATTTCCCAGATAGTCAGTGCACCCAGGATTGCAGTGGGGAAGGGTGAGTCCGCCATGCCACGTGTGGGATAGCAATCATCGGCTGGTTTCAAACCTCCCAGCCAGGCTCTCAGGATTCACAATAATTCCCGGTGGTAGCGCTTGCTAAGCGACAAGTCGATGGGAGAGAGGGTGAGGAGGAAAATGACCCTGGGAGCAAAGTGCTGGCTTTACACACCGTTGGGTATCTGTTACATGTGAATTTCCTCTGGCGCCAGCAGGTATTTTGAGCAGGCAACCAGGGGATACCCAAGGGGAAGGACGTGAGAGCGCATAAGACGGAGATGTAAGTTGGGGGATCAAGGCTTTAAAGATCCCAGAGGAAATCGGTAAGATCCGATTGATAGTCCAAAGGACGTTAAGCAGGATATGGAAGATAGTTCAAATCTCTGAGGCTTAGGGCTGCGGAGGAAGAGGGTGAGCAAACAAGGAGTAAACAAGATCCCAGAGGAGAGGTCACACCGGACAGGCCCGAAGGATAACGAGAGGATTTGCCCTCGCTTTTGACCCTAGGGACTCCACAGGGCAATTCCAGGTGGCTAATCTGCCAGTGTGCAGGCGGAGGGGCTGCATCCTTCCCAGTCTCTCCACGAAGCTGGGGAGGAAGGGAGGTGAGGCTCGAAGCCAGCCAGGGGCGCTGAAGTTCGCACGGTCTTCTCCGGAGGTCTGGCGGGCAAAGCCATTGGAGCCCGGTTGCCGGTTGGAGCGCACAGGAAAAGCGACTGCGATTTATTTGGATTAGTCACTAGGAAGGTCTGGGAAGACAGCTATTTACCCGATGCGGGACCCTGACAAATTAATTGGGCAGTGCAACAGAGAACAGTCCCTCTGACCTTGGGTGGTGCTGAGGCGGAAGGCAGGATCCTCCCACCTGCCCCCGGACCGAAAGAGCGCTCTGTGACTGCGAGAGCCGCGTCTTCCCTTGCTGTCGTCCCAGCGGCAGCGCATCCCGCCAGATCTCCAAGAGGTGCCTTCTCCGGGCTAGAGCGAATCTGGCACAGCCTCCAGGCCTGCATTGGAGGTATGCGCTCACTCGCTCACTCTCACACTGCATCATCTCCCCAGGTCCCGGCCAGGTCACCGATCTGTGATCTGGTCCAGCTGCCCTGTGGGTGACCCAGTACCCTGGAGGGTCTACCTACAGGGTAAAAATCGTTTGGTCTGGCAGTATCCGGGTCATATATCTGAGAGGTCGTTTAAAAGTCATTTTTTTTTTAGAACTGACAAGTGATTTGAACCTGAAATTTAATTCCACTTAATATGGAATGCAACTATAACGTACTGGTTCTCAACTGAAGATAACATTAGTGCCACAAACTCTGCCACAGATCCGCTTCAAAACCTACACTCCTTGGGAAGTATTAAAGTTCACACACCAGACCTGGAAAAAAAGAAAAAAGGAAGCCCCTTTGGTTCTATACATGTTTTTATGCTTTCTTGGAATTTGTTTCTGTCTTTAACATATTAAATGTTACATTAAAATCCTGTAGAAACAAACATTTGCACTACATAGCTACAAAGATAAATAGGTAAATTTCTAACTGGCAGTGGAATCAAAGGGAATCATTTTGCCAGCAGTGTATTACTTGTAATATCCTTTGTTGTCCCAACCTTAAGGCCAATGCCATTTCATCAGGTAATGCGAATATGTATGGCTGGGTACCCAAAACAAATACTTCTGAACAGATACTGTGGGTAACAAGTAAGTCTAATTCCTTTGCTCTCAGGATCTGAAACATCACTTAGGGGACAGTCTCCCAAAATGTGTGTGTCAGGCAACGAGGTTACTTTCTTTCATTGCTTGCCTGTATTTTGGTTCAAGACCCAAGACTAGGAGAATATCGGAATGAAATTCTTTCTTGCAAAAGATAAAAGAAATTGGATCCCTAGAGTTCAAAAGATGAAAGTCGGTGTAGCCAGAAGATGAGGGTTTTAGTCTTTCTGGTGGCAACTAATTTGAACCTGAACATTGTGCGTGGCTATCTATCTTGCTGAGAGTGAGCGAGAGATAGAGTGTAATCTGGCTCTGATTTCTGCTGCAAAGAAAACACTGAAATGACTGCTCATTTATCACGGCATCCACCTCCCCCTCCTCCACCTTGGGTTAATTGACAATGGAACACCAAGCTGTTTCTGTCTTCTCTCGCCTGTTAGAAATAAAATTAAGTGAAACTAAGCTCATGGTGGGGAGGGGGTTTCTAAATGATCAGGGTTATTACGTTTATTCTAAAGTATCATGGGAAGAAAAGGGAAGGAGTCTGTTGTGAACCGGTCTCCCAGCAGCAAGGGCGCTGGAGACCCATCTAAACTCTGTGATGATGCATGAGGTTTTCCTTCTTGTCTGGCTGCTTGGTGAATCGGCACATGTTGGTTCCTGGACTGAAGCAGCTAGTTAAGGGTTTAGTCAAGATACTATTTGTGGCACTATTCCTAAACTGATTGCAATAATAGGTACATTCGTGAGAATGGGAATTAAAATGTTGGGATCAGGTACTTCTCATGCAGAGAGTGATTTTAGTCAAATAGATTAATTTATCTCCCCTCTATAGATACTAAATTCACAAAAGAAAAAACAATGGCCAAGATGCATATATTTAAATTTTTGATTCTACTATTTATACTAATAGTAAAACAGTAATTGAACCCCTTTTCCAGCGGTCTGATTAGTCAACATTTCTTAAACTATGATATCAAATTTTGACAAAAATCCAATAAAACAGCTCTCCCAAATACTGCTTGAGAATATATAAATTAGAACAATTCAGGGATATCTGTAGTTATTATGAAGAGACTTTAAAATGCATAAATAATTTTTTAGAAATGACACACTTTTTAAAATTATGTATTTATTTTAATTAAATTACTTTTGACTTAATCAGAGAGAGAGAGGGAAAGCAAAAAAGCAAACCACCAGGACTGGGATTTGAACAGTATTCTGTCACTGGGAATCCAGTGCCTTAACCACCACACCACCTGCCAACCCCCCTATACCATTTAACTTAGCACTCATATCATTTAACTTAGCACTTCCACATCAGAGAACTTAGTTTATGGAAAGAATTAAGGAAGCATACAAAGATTTTACTTAAGAATAGTCTCAATAATGAAATACTGTAAATCAATATATACGATATAAAAATTTATTTTGTCATTCAATTGTGTCAAAAAAGAAATTATAATGACATCCAAAGATGTTTGTAACATGTTAGGTAACAAAATTCTATTTTGGTCAACCAACAATATATTTTACTTAAAGAAAATAGAAGAAAAAGAACTGCTACCTGGCACATATAAAAACAGGAGGTACAGCATGTAATAATAAGAATTAATATATATTGAATACTCATGAAGTGCTAATGTGTGTGTGTGTGTACAATCTCACTACACCTTTCATAACAATGTTATAAAGCTAAAGAGACTAATTATGCCCAAGCTCATGCAGCCAGAGAGAAACAGAACTGGAAATGATCCATTCCTCTGGCTCCGAATCCAACTGTGTTCATCTGCCTTTACTGGGTACCCATTGCTCTGTAGAAGCTAGTTCACTAAAAGAAAAGAAGGAACACAATACACTAAGGAGTCTTTTCTGCTTCATATCTGGCTGTTTTGCAGCTAGTAAGCTCTTTAATTTGGAACACAAATTAAACATATAGAACAACTCAAGGCAGAGAAAAGTTAGCTCCAAACGGTGTTAAATGAAAGGAGTGAATTGGGCTGGCCCTGTAGTCTAGAAATTAAGGAAACTATCCCCAGTGGCTAATCTCAGCTCTAATCTTGGCCCAGCAGCAAGAAAAATATGCAGGCATGTTTGTGTGAGTGCCCCAATCCCCAACAGGATTGAGAAACGGAAGAGAAGGGATTGAGACATGACCATGCCCCATTGGAGCCCTGCTTCTCCCTCTTGCATTGATTGCATAGTCAATGTGCAATGCGAAGTATAGCATGCTGACCTAAACAAGGTGTGATGGCTCACTAAGCACCTCCACTCCAACTGGATGGATAAAATGGAGAGAAAAAACAAGAGGCATGTATATGAATGATAGAAGCCCACATGGTCTTGTACATTACTGGACACACGAAAGGTTCTAATAAATGTTTGCTGATGAAAAAGGACCCTAAGAGACAGGACAACAGGCATGAGTAGTTAGAGGTATTGATTGTATTATTTTATATATTTAAGGCGAATCTTGCTGGGACTGAAATAATCCTTATTGTTTGTATATTGATTGATTGATTAATTTTATAGTTTTATTAAATGCAAACACTATTTAAACAACTAATAAATCAACACCTATAATTTAACAAAGAAATTTAAACATTTTAGTAATAATTTCAGATGTATTTCATCAAAATTCTTACCAAATCTCATTGACATCACAAATTTAATACATTAGTTATATTTAAATACTTCAAACAACTCACAGAGGATCTCAACAATTTTAAAACATTCCACTACCATCAAGCGGACTAAAATATTTTTATATATACTTTGAATCTAAGTTTGATCCTCTTCATCTTCATACTTATTCTCATTCGAAAATAATTTTCCAGATTCTGGACAGACAGTATGCAAAATATTTAACAACCAAGCAGAAGGGAATGCCTCTAGAATGGAAGCAAGTTCCTGAGTCCCTCCCCTTGTACCCTGATCCCTGATTCACTCCAGGCTTAACCCATAAGTGGCTAAATCAACAGGAGATCTAGGGAAGGGCAAGGGAGGATTGGAGAGGCACATGACAAGGCTAGGGTATTTACCAATTTGTAGAACTATTTCAGTGCTGACCGCTGTTAACAACTACTTTTATACTGACCAGCTATCAGTCCTTTTTACAATAATATTTTAAGGCTCAAAAAAGAAAGATAATTTTCTCAAACCAGGCAAGACTAATATAGATTTCAGACCAACTAACAGTCCTTGCTTGGGTAGCAGTACCTGTTTATGCTACCCAAGTAATTTGAGAGGTTTTATGGTGGCACAGGGGTAACACCACTGGATCCACATGTGAAAGGTCCTGAATTTGTGTCTCAGGATGTTCCAGAGCATGTTGGACACTTGGGCCCACAATCCTGGCCAGTTGAGACCAGGAATGGATTGTGGGGTGAAGACCATGTTAGGGAGTGCCTGTTTCCCTCTCTCTCTAGGAAAAAATAAAATTTAGAAAAAATAAGCTAACTAGGGCGGGCAGGCGGCGTGGTGGCTGAGGGCCATGGACTCCCACATGGCCTACTGTAGTTCAAGTCTCAGACCTAGCAGCTTCCTTTCTCACTTTCCCTTTCTTTCTCTCTCTCTCTCTATCTCTCTCTCCCCCTTTCTGGTCAAATTAAAATAAATAAAGGTAAATAAAATAGTTATTAAAAAATAAGCTAACTAACAAAAGATGATCTAAGCCCAAACCAAAACTAAACTAATTGGGCCCCTTTGAATGACTGAATTTTGCCCATCATAATTTTCCAAAGAATGCAAGTCTCTGATAAATCTGATAATGTTTAATATGTCACAACCGTAATTATTTTCTTTATTTTATGCTTATTTCTTAGTTTTTTTTATTTTTGAAGTTTATCTTAATCATCATTATGTAACCATACTTTCATTCTCCTGTGTAATTTGGGCCTAAACTGGTTTAATGACAGGGAAAGTTTCTGAAAAGTCTAGTTCATTGTAATCCCAATTCTTCCTTCTTACCAATAGCCAAGAAAGCCTTCTTTTCAATAATCAATGTTGATGCAAAGGAGATAGTTTGAAAGAGAAAGCAAAGAGTCTAGTTTGGAACATGCTGCCTATGAGACATAGTTGAATGGCAATGATAATAGGAAGACAGCATAAAATATATAATGTTGTAGGATTCAAGAAGAGAAATTAAAAAATAATAATAGAGGGAGTGGGACCAGCAGATGGTGAAATGGTTACTTCGCCGGATTCCCACGCAATTGTCCTATACATGGCAACTTAAAAAAATTCACGCAAGGCGTATGTGAATGCATGCCCAAAATCCCAAGGGGAGAATGGAGAAGAAGAGATTG